TCTTCTCTTGTGGCTGGAAAGCAAAGACTATCTACATCTAAAACACCATTTTGCTATTACAACCCTGACCAGAGCCAGACCCACTCCCAGCAGACCCACCCTTTCCTTTCCCTTCCCTCCCCTCCTGTGCACATACTCATGTCTTAGCGTCTCTTCAGAAAAAAAAAAAAATGTGTTCTGGTTGGGTTGGAAAGGGGAGATTTTTTTATTATTATATATATATATCAAGTTTTAAATTATTGCTAGAAGTTCGTCTGGATTTACCAAAACAAGTCTGCTCTGTGTGGCCCCAACAACTCCCCTCTGTGTCCCCCCTCGGATCTCGCGGGGCAGCCGCTCAGGAAGCTCGGAGGAGCGAGGTTCCCCAGTGGGGGACCGAAGCCACAGCGTGTCACGATGCTGCGGAGCCTCTGATCTCCATGACCCGGCTGGCGTCTCCCATTCCACGTACGGCGGTGCCTCTCCCGACACCGACCACCGCGACAGGAGCATCGCCCTGTTCGTCCTCCTGCTCCCTTCCCAACCCCAACGTCTTCACCTTCCCGAGGGTCTGGCTCTTCCCTCTGCCCACCTCTCCCTTCTGTCACGGACAATTTGGAAGTCAACCAAAGGACCTTTGCCAAGGATAGGCTTGTTCTGACTCCTTCCTGCGAGGATGGCTGGTTGGGAGGCTGGCAGGCACCTGGACTCGAGCCTGCGTGGACGGTGCATCTGCTGCCCCAGGAATGCCCATCACATGCAAAGACAGGACTTTGCTGAAGGAGCTTTTCTCTTCCTTTTTTTCCCTTGGAAAAAATGACATGACATAAAAAAACCCCCACAAACCCCTCTAAAAAAAAAACGACGACAAAAAAAACTCTTTAAAAAGACACATCTCCCTTTGCTTTCTTCCTTGGAAATATTATTGAAGAAAAAAACAAACAAACAAAAAAACAAACAAAAAAACCCCAAAAACACACAAAAAAAAAGTTGCCTTATGGTGGAGCTGGACCGGGGAGGCTTGTTGGTTTCCTGCATCCTGGGGTGCACTGGGCTCTTGGCCCCCCCAGGCCCAGAGACTCCTCACGGCATTGCTGCCGAGCTGATCTTCCCTGCGGCCTTTCCTCTGACCCCGCAGCTTGCTCGGATACCTCTCCTGTCATGGAGCCTCCCTGCCAGGCCTGAGTCTCCTGGGGAAGGTGCTGAGGGCAGTCAAATCCAAGACTTGAGCTCACGCAGTAGTTGAAGCCGCTCCTCTGTGTTTGTACCGTGGCAGCGTCCTCCCCATGACAGCAACCGAACGTGCTCATGGCTTTGCTCAGACCCCCCGGCCCTCTCTGGGTGGGAGGTTGATCTGCTCCAGTCTGTGCGTCCAGTGTGGTTGGGGGGTGAGCACGGAGATTGTCACAGCAGCTGGAGGAACTGGTCCTTTTTGTGAGCAAGTGGTAGAGCTGACGTGTTCCTGGTGCCACTTGATGCTGTAGCCTGACAGGGAGTGATGCAGCCCTAGGAAGCCTGTCCCACAGCAGTCGCTGGCTTGGGGCTGCTGGTGCGACTTGTGCAGGGAGGAGCAGGAGACCTGCCCAGCACAGGAGAGCTCTCGCTTCTCACTTTGGGTGTTGTGGTTTGGCAGGTGGCTGCATGGAGCCTCCCATTCAACGCAGTCCCTGTGCACCTTGCAGGGCTCAGATGACACCATGCAGTGCAGCTCTTTGCTGGGCTGAGGCAGGGCGTGGCTGCAGAGCTGCTGTGGCATTTACTTGATTGATCCTGCTACCCCACACTGGGTGGGCTTCGGCAGGCAAACCCTCCCCAGCCTGTGAGCTTAGCAAGGGGCATGTGTCAGAGGAGTGAGATCTGAGATTTCCAGTGCTACCTTTGGAGTTGCTCCAGAGGTAGCACTGGAAAGTTGTTTCTTTCCAGCCAGACCCACCTGCCTTGCTGCCACTGTGCTCCATCTCCTCAGTCCCTGGAATACCTGCCGTGCAGATGGCTTGGCTGTGGCTCTGGTGCTCCATTGCCTGAGCTGCAGAACGCGCTCCTTTGTGGTGGGGAGTGGAGCAGGTATGCAATGGGTGGCTCCAGAGGTGCAGCTTGTTGTGTGACCCTCTCTGCACCATCACAAGCTGATACCAAACAGCATTTTTCCAAAGGATCCAGTTGATCCAGAGCTGCATCTCAGAGCTGGGAGGAGTCATCTCTCCAGGGCTGTCCCTGTGCAGCCATGGGGTGGGTGGGTGAGAGCAGCCAGGAGCTGAGAAGCCAGGAGCAGGAGGGTAAGCACAGTCAGGCTGTCATGAGCAGTGGCTGTGGGTGCTCACCGGGCCCTGGCTGAGATCATCACTTCCCAAACTGACACTGCCTCAAGGATGCTGCTTTGGTGGGGGGAGCTGGGCTGGAGTGAAGAGGCTTCATGAACTGCTGCTGGAATGGACAGTACGGCTGGGTTTGAGAGGCTGGGGAGCTGCTACTTTGCTGTTTCCTGGTGGTGTGATCCTCCCCTGCTCTGTCCAGCCCTGCTATGTTACCCTGCAGCTGGTACCACTCACAGGCCAGATTCCAGCAGGCCAGTCTGCCTGAGGCCATGGATGCTCCACTACGGCAGCAGTGCTCTGGGGTTGTGGGGTGGGAACTGGGCAATATGGGCAAAAAGTAAACACTTGTACAGTGCTGTGGCCGTGACTGTTATATCTGGATTTCCCCTCTTGTGAGCCAGAGTCAGATCTCTTGAGGTTACGGATGTAGCTGGGTTTGTCCCTGATTTGGGAAGGAGGAGGCTGGATCAAGGACATTGGAGATGTGTTGCTGGTTGTTTGCAAGTGGAAGCGGGTCTGGATGTGCGCGGGTGGCCCCGTTGCCATGTCCTGTGCTCCTCTTGTGGGTGTGTGTTCTCTTTAGAAGCCAATTGTCTGCGTTTTAGCAACAAACATAATAGGAAATGAGGAGGAATGAGCTTCTGCTGTGGAGTTGTTGCTTGTGGAGCAGACTGTGGAATTGCTTGGGTAGTAGAAGAGGTAGAATGTTTCCCCAAGAATTTCCCAAAATCTGAGTTGATTTTAAATAATATTTTCACTTCTGAGCCTGAGACTCTTAGTCTCAGAGTTTTCCCTTCCCCCTCTGCCAAGTCAGTGGTTTGTCACCTTAGTGTGTGCACCTGTTTCCCAGGGGAAGGTGGGTCAGAAGAGCAATCCCAGTGGTCCCACCACCCTCCAGGTTTGTGGACTGTGTGCCTTGTTTTACTGTCTGTTGGACAGCAGCGGGCAGGGCAGAGCAAAGCAAAGAACAGATGGACATGACACCTGAGGCAGCTGTTGCTTGCTCCCACCTGTCTTCCTCCAGATGGAGGGAACACAAAGCCATTCATTCCTGCTCTATGCAGGGGTGGGTGCTGGCAGAGGGCAGGGAGCTTAGAGCAGTGTCTGCACCCCTGTGCTGTGTGGCCGTGGCCAGGCCAGGGCTGCCCAGGTCTGTGCCTGGCTGCAGGAGGCACCGCACATGACTTGTGTCCCACCTGGACAAAGGGACAGCTGTCCAGAGGGGAATTGTATTTGAGGAAGTTCTTGCCTCCTGTAGAGGACAGAGTTTGGCCTTGCTTTTAGCTTGGATCCTTCACCTCCCCATGTTCTGTGCTTTTTTTGATTTTAGAGGTCTGAGTGGTTGCGCGTGTGCTCCTGTGAGTGCTGATCCGTCCCGCAGCTCGTGAGGGCTGCGTGGTGCTGGTGCCCAGCTGCTTTTGGAAAGGTCTGAGGGAGGCTGAGTCAGGAGGGGGAAGTGCTCCCCTCTTCTCAGGAGGTCCCCCAGGCTGCCACAGCTTGGGGCTCCTTGCTGAGGTCAGCCCATCTTTGGGGTGCAGGTGGCTGCAACAGGTACAGAGCTCTGGTGTGGGGTCAGGAGTGGAGGTAGAAGGTGTGTTTCAGAGGAGGTTTTGTTGCTTTGCCGTGCTCATTTGGGAAAAACAAACAAAAAAGTAATAATAATACTGCTGCTCTGTTTTTGCCTGTCTGTCCCTCTTCTGCTGCCCCCCTTGCACCCCTGATGGGGGTCCCTTGAGTTTTGGGAACTGCTCGGGACTGGTTGACTGTACTGTAACAAACTGACGTGTTTAACCTCAGTGTCCTGCCACGTGTCTGCATGGCAGTGCAGAGGGGGCCTTCTAGCTGTTAATGCCTTTCCAGTTATTTTGTCAAAAAGAAAAAGAGAAAAAAAAAAAAGGAAAAAAATTGTATATGTAGCAAGCTGTGTTTGCAATGCTTATTGTCTCCTGTCTCCTCTGAGGCTGGTTATGTCACTTGTCACTGTTTGAAATGGGTGCTGGGCTCTTCTTGAGGGGGTTGCTACACTTGATGTTAAATGCCTCATTGGCTTTTTTTAAAGCTTCCAGTACAGGTAACTGATAAATGACATTTTTAACAGATGTTCCTCTCGGTGGCATGGAGCAGGCAGCTGGAGGGCAGCATTTCCAGGCGTAGTTTACAGTTTCACTTTCTGCAGACACTTGAACATAGGACCGATGTATCTGTGACAAGCACATCCCCTTGGTGGGAAGCTCCAGAGGAGCGGGGAGTGCCCTGGGTGCCAGCAGGCCCTGCAGGGTGTGCTGGGGTCCCCCCGGCCCCCCGTGCTGTCCCTGCTTGCTTCCCAGGTGCCAGCCCTGCACAGGGGGGGCTTGTGCCCGTGGTGCCCCTCGTGGGAGGGGGTACTTGGCACCACTTGGTCCCTTCAAGCCTCCCTGGTGCAGCCCCGCTCCCCCTCCTCCCCTCCCAGCCTGTCCTGGTCCCGCTGGGGTTGAAAACCTTTGGATCTTTGGCTCAGAAACCCCTGCTGAGCTGCACCCCAGCGAGTGCAGCCCTCTGCTCTCTCGCCTGGAGCTAAAGGGGTGATGGTTTGATGTGCTGGCCCTTCTCAAACCCCATGTGTCCAACCTCAGCCTTCTGTTTCCCAAAACTAGAAAGTGTGTGCAACCTTCTTCAGCTGCATTTATCGTAGAGACAAACTTAAAATGACTCATCACAGACCATGTATCACTTGGGAGGAAAATCTTGTTAATACGGCCGGCTGTACATGATCCATCTCTGTTGATAGTACATAATCTTTGACCCATGTGCTAGGATCATCATCACGTATAAACGGAAAAGAGAAAAATGTAAAATACTTGAATGAGAGCTTGTATTATAACATTAATATTATTCAGATTATCTGCTTTCTAGGCTGATGTGATTCATTATTCTAGTAATGCTTTAGTCCTTTGTAATTTGTGGTAATTATGCTTTTTCCTTTTTAATACAAAAAAAAATGTATAAAAATAAAAACTTCAAAAGACATCGCAGCCTGGGTTTTCTGTTCTGCTGACTTGCCCTCCCCAGGGAGCTGATGAGTGGGCCAGGTTCATCCCTGCCTGGCTGTAGGGACCAGAGGAGGGCTGGGGAAGCGAGTTGACTTCCACAGGTAGAGCTGGGCTGACCACAGGTGAGTGCAGCACAGCTCAGCCCTGCGTGTCCCCTCCTTGGGGGGCTGCTCTGGCACTGGGGGGAGATGTGTTATTTTTGTCCCAGCCCCCCAGGAAAGACTGAAACTTAAAAAGATTGAGAAAATTCACAGTATGTCTTGATGGGTCTGTAGGTACTTGGGGATGTGCATAAAGCTCTGGGGGCTGCTATGTTGAGTCCTTTCTTAGTGTTTCACTGATCTCCACACAGCTCAGGACAGCAGGGACTCAGCTTTCCTTGGAAAGACTTCGTAATTTATCATTGTGGAATTTTGGTTGTATCTTGGTGATGAGGCTCAGCAGGAGGAGGTAATGGCATGTGGCACATAGCCCCTTCCCTATCCCATGAGGAGAAACTCACTTTTGTTTGCCACTGATCTGTGGAGCAGCTATGAGGCCGTGACAGCCCTAATTCAGAGCTGGACTGACCTCTCCTAAGGAGAGACTGCTCAGGGGGAGTCAGGTCTCTGCTGCATGGGCAGGGGAGAGTTTCTAAAGCTGTGGCACCACTGATCTTCCATGGGATTGCATCTACTACCCCAGGTGCTCTGAGTCTCAGAAAAATAGTGGTTTTAATACCATCACATGCAATTACAGTGACCTTGCTGGTGTTTCTATAGAGTCAGTGCTGCTGAGAGAGGCCAAAGCGTTGCCTGTGGAAACTGGTGCCAAAACCTCAGTAATTCTCAATGAAAACTCCCCAGTCACGTGGCCCAGAACACACCTGGCTCATGCACAGGCAGCTGGAACCAAGGGACAGTGCAAGTAATTAAGAAGCAAACCACTACATTTTGCTTAAAAACAGATTTCTAGAGCAAGAGTTTTTTGCAGTAAATGTGCAGTCATTTCCAGCAGCATGTTTAACTTCAGTTTCGGGTCTCGTTATGTGTGAACAATAACTTGTTTCCCAGTTAAAATACTATTTGGCATAAATCATTGTCTCTCACTCTGCTGGTCACAAGAGCTGCTGGGCTGGTTCACTCGGCCCTCTTGGGTGCCTCGGGGATGCTTTCGGAGAGCGGTGTGAGGCCGAGGAGGACCTTGTGTCTCTCGAAGGCTTTGGTTTGTCTGAACACTCTGTCTGTGCCATGCAGATAATCCAGCACTCCCAGGACTCCATAGCACTGGTTGAACCTGAGAACCAAACAAAGATAAACATCACTAGAAAGCTACTGAGGTTACATCACCTTTCGTATTTCCATTCCTTTGGGAGCCCTGTAACCTGTCTGTGATTTCTGCCCCTGCACCAGTGTCCCTGGCAGCTCTGTTGAAGCCTGAGTGAAACTTGTGCAGCTTCCCTCTTTGGTGCCTTTGTTACCCAGAAATGGTGGCACTGAGCAGCAGCCACGACTCTCCCAGGTAGCTGAGCTGTGGGAGCAGCTGGGCACTTGTATTACCATTCCATGTGCTCCCAAGACTCAACTGCTGTGGGACACAGAGTGGCTGTGCTTCCAGCACTGGACACTGGCACAGCTGTCCTGCCCAGAGAGCATCTTGGATCTGCAATCATCTGTGTCCTGACAGGAGCTGACATTCAGAGGAAACAACAGATAAGAACTGGCACCATGTTTGTGGTGCTGCCCAACATTTGGGTGGTGAGTGAACTGTCCCATGGGCTGGATCTGTAGGAGGGGCAGACTTGGAGAAGTGTCTGAATCTGGTACACATCTGGGAGATGGGAACAATTCTTCCACTGCTCAGGTATGTGTCCCTAAACAACCTGCTGCAACTGCTCTCTCCAGAATAGGAGGAGGCTGGAAATCTCTGCCAGGAAGGGTTGTGATTGTCTGGGCAAGGTGTTATCTGATTAGTGTTTCTAATCCCAGTGTATGGGAGAGGAACAGACAGGCTTCCTGCATGTTTCCTTCACCTGTGTGACTTGCCCTTGCTCTGTCTTTACATCACATGCAATGTCCTCTAAACTTCTAGGAAGGGCCTTGCAGAGAACTGTCTTTGATAGGGCTGGAGTCCCTTGAAATCCTGATCTGTTTAACTGCTGTAAGAACTGGCAGCATTCAGCAGGTGAACTGGAGAGCAGCTCTGCCTGTACATGAGTTGTCCAAACCCACTTGACCCTTGGAAAGGAGCTCTGCCCACCAGCGGTGCCAGAGTGCTGGCAGGAGGGGAAGGGGAAGCTGAGCAGTGCCCAGACGTACTTGAGGTGGTGGAAGTCATGGAACTCTGGAGATGGCAGGAAGGGCAGGTGGTATCCGCAGTGTGAAATGCTTGTTGTTACGAGAGCGAGGGAGAACCACACTGAGATTGAAACAATGTGAGACCCCATGACCATCGGGCCAGTTATGACAGGCAGCGTGTTGGAGAGCTGGAAAGGAGAACAAACCACCTCAGTAATGCTCCACAACAAGCAGACCCTCCTCTAGGAGCTGAATTGTGTCATCTGGGTGATGCATGACATTAGTTTTGTGCAAACAGCACAAAGGGAAGATGCCTCTGTGAACATCTTAATAAAGTTACATAATCATCCAAAAAATAATTATGGGACTAACAGAGTTCTACTAACTGCAAACCACAGTCATAGCCCAAGCTCCCTAAGCTTGTAGTAGGAGTTAGACATGAGACCAAACCATGGATGTGAGGGCAGCATGATTCCAGTAAATCATCCTGGAGTCTGAGGTATGAATTTCAGCTTCACTGTGGAATAACACTGAGGCTGCTCTTGGGAAACCTCACTGTAAAAGGCTATGGCCTGTGGACACACACAGCAATGTGATGATCTGCATCACTTCACTGTGTCCTGCCCGTGACACACACACAGACTCAGAGGTGGTGCTCTGGCCCAGGACTCCTATTAACAGGAGATGGGACTTCTAAGTGGAATCTTTTCAAGGTGGGATGTGTTTTCTGGGAAGTCTCAGCTGGAGCAGCGCTGGGAGACACTCCTGCAAACACATTTGCTTCTCTTCTCTTACCACTCCTCCTAATCCCATGGAAATCATGCTCCACACAGCAACTGGAGGGTGATTATGGGAGAATCCACTTACTACGTGTTCTATGGGGTGAGCATAAATGGAGACCACGCCGACGGGGGCTGTCCACTCATGGTGCTTCTTGTGAATGTGCTTATACAGGACTGGGTGGTGAACAAGCCTAAGCAGAGCAAACAGAGAAAGGAGAAAACAGAGAAAGGCAGGTTTTGAGCTCTGCAGAAAGGAACATGGAATAACAGAACACAGAATTTCTGTGGGGGACTTGCTCATATCTCCTCTCACGTAAGGATTTAAGCTGGGAGTAAGAGTGTAGGACTCCTGGCTTCCCATGCTCTCTCTCTGTAGTACTGAGCCTTCACTCAACTGATGTGTCCACTGGGTGATGTTAAACTTAGTCCACATAAATCCTATAAATCAATGGCCCTGAATGACTCATTTGCTCAAATATGGGAGTACTGCTTAGGAGAGGACTCTGTATTTTCACTGTTTTGACTTGACCAACTGGTAACTATTAGAGTCAGAATTTTTGGTTCCATGGGCCCTTTGTAGGAAATGGATTTTACATTTTTTTGGTGTATTTGTCTAAAAGGGAAACCTACATATTTCTGAGATGCTGAGCTCACTTCTGCATGGGCTTTTGTAGGCTTTTGTCCTCCTTGTTCTAGCTTTGTCCTCTAGAAATCCTGCAGTGTTGGGAGCCAGGCCCTGTTTCGTAGGCGTTGTACAAGGGAACAGGAGATCAGTCACTGACCTTCTGGACTTTTTTTCTTTCAGGATACTGAGCCTCACTCTTTTCAAAGAACACAGCTCTTGTGTAAAGCTGCCTGTTTTGTTTCTTCTTTAGCTTCTAAGCTGTTCCACCTTTGTAATTTTACCCATTTTTGCTTACTCTAGGTAATGGCAGCACCAAAGCCTCATGTTGTAAGGGTGCATTTCAGGACCTGTAAATTTTCCCATACAAATACCAGACTGGTGGAAGAGGGGGACTAGGATTATTGATGTTGTAGGAGATGAGTATAAGCTTAAAGGCATGGAGGAGAATCAGAGTCCTGTTCCTGTGCTCAGCTCACCTGTGTGTATAATAGAAGAGAATTTCCTCTATTGTGATGAAGATGCTTAGCTCCACAAGAAACCACTGGAAAGTGGGTAATTCCTTGCTGAAGGTGTTGCCCCACCATTTCATGACATGGAACATGGCCACAAGCATGGGCAAGGAGACAAAGAACTGATTACCCAGTGCTGTGTAGATGGCTTGGCACAGCTTCTTTGTGTCCACCTGCAAAAGAGAAGTCAGGACTTGAAGCAAAGTAAGAAGTGATGTAGCTTTAGTTGGAAGGATAAAAAGCTTTCAGATTTATAGGCAGTTCATTTTGGGACCAACTTTTTAACAAGCTGTCAATCCAGATCTGATCAGCAACCTGATTACAGGATCTGCCTTCCTCTCTGCAGTGGATATACAAGACTTGGCTTGATTCTCCTGGAATCCTACCTGGTTGCAAGAGAAAAGCATAACAGGTTCTTCTCCCCATTCCTGGCCTAAGAGACTGCAGGAAGTGTTTAGCCAGCAGAAGAGGCAGAGTGGGAAGTACTTACAGGATCATTCTTGCCCAGCTGAATGCGATAGCGAGTAATGAAAGTTGGCTTTCCTGTTATATCAGCCACCATAAGGATTCCATTGAAGCCCCAGAAAGCAAGTGCAGGCACCAATGCAGCCCCTGTGGCATGAGGAGAGGGCAGAGATGTGTGAATGAATTGAGAGCTATAAATAAATCAGAAACAAAATACACTGGCATAGTATCCAGAGGACCTTGCTGGGACTCAGATGTGCCAAGACCTGCCCTGAGATGCTTTAAAATGGAATATGGGTAAGTTTTGACATCCAGGTAAGATCTAAAGAATGGGGAGGAGGTTAGAGAGGACAAATGTCTCACAGGTTGAAACTTGAGAAAACTGAGGCTAAGAAAAGGCCTCTCTGTTCTGGGTTACTTTTAAATACAAGTAGTATAACGTTGAGTTGATCCCTAGAACCTTGCAAGGTCCCTATAAGTTCTGTTCACCAGCTGTTAATCACAGAGAAGAGTTTTACAGGTACTAGAGCAAGAGTAAAATCCATTAATTGTACTTAAATTTTTAGTAATCAGTTCTGCTGAGTCATTTGGTTCTCACAGGAGTAAAGTATCTTCACAGGGAAGCCATTTCAGCAGCACAAAAATATCAGATTTTTAATCTGAACAGGGGGTCTAATGGTGACCCCATTCAAAGGCACCACATCAGCTGTCTCTGGCTTCCAAGCCAGTGCTTTTCTGTGGGATTAGTGAGTTTGGCAGGTCCATGAACCCCTTTTACATATAGTACATGGATGATTTCTCCTACAGAGGAGTGTTGTTAAAACTCACCAAGGAGGAAGATTGTCCACTCATCTCCCTCAAAGAAGTTGTAGAACTTCAGCCATGTTGTTTGCCAGAAATTGCCTAAAGTTATATCCTGCACAAACCTGTGGAAATAAGAGTTCTTGGTTGCCCATCTTCTTGTCATCCACTTTTTTCCCCTTTTCACAGAAAAGTTTCCCCTCAAGCCACTTCGTCTGAACAATCTTACCAAGAAACAGAGTTCACTAAGGCAGTGAATGTGAGCAGGCCTGTACTGAAGGCGTAGGCACTGATCTTCAAGGCATCCCAGAGCTTCTCTTCCTGTGAGAAGCAAAAAGAGAAAGCACATGCTGCTGAGGCCTGCCTTGGCATTTTTGGTATTTGCAATGGTAAAGGCAGTCCTGTGATGGCCTGTTTTGTTTCACACACACTGTAAAGAACACAGTAACAAAGCTGTTATGGGATATTGTGTGTAACTGAGGGGGCAGTACACACACATCCATCTGCCATGCTTACACAGACCTGATGTGGCACTGATGTGGAATTTCTCTGGAATAACCAAAGGCAGAGAAAGGACCACTGATTTTTCCCTCTCTGTTTTTATTTGGCACGCTGCTCAGTACCTGGAGGGCTATAATACAAGGAGCTTCTGGATAACTCAGAGCAGTGGGAAAAGAACACCTGGGGGTAAGGAGTGGTGCTCCACTTCAGCACCTCCCTCCTTCAGTATTTTCTCCCTCCCAGGATACAGTATGCTTTTCCCCCCCAAAATAGTCAAGAACTGCTGTGCTCAGATGACCTGGTTAACAGCTCCAGTCAATCCAGAACCTCTCCTCTCAACATTCCTTTTTGTTTTGAAGACCCTTTGTGAAGCCCACTGCCCACATGCCCAGAAACTTGCCTTTTTTCCCCAAGTATAACAGAGCTTTAACACCTTTCCTTTCATAATTCACTTTGCTGTGCCTTTAGGCCATCACAGGTACAACTCAGCTCCAGTGCTGACAGTACAACTTGGCCAGCAGGTATCATGTGCCATCTGTATAAAACAACTGCACATCAGCAGGGAGCTAAAACACTCAGCTTCTCACAAGAACAAAGTTCTATAAATCCCTGCTCTCAGCCACAGAAACGTTATCTTCTGAAGAAATATTCCTGTGGGCAGCTCTAATGTTAGCAGGACTTTTTATCACAGTAAGGATTTTAACTGTACAGAGCAACTGCAAAGACTCAGAAAATTACCAGTGAGACCTTTTCATTCTAGTATATTCAAAAAGCAGCATTCAATATTTGAATATTTAAATATTCAAAACCAAGATGTTTAGCAAATATATGACAAATTTGTAATTAATGATCTCTCTTTTAGAGTGGCCCAAGTTTGAGTTGGTTCTGGAGTTCAGCAATCTTAGTTTGGGTTTTCCTGAGTGAATATGAATTATATTTATCTGCAGGATAAATGTTTTTTAAAAAACCAATGTAGTTTTAAAATAATATTATATAATAACCAGCTATTGTCTTCTTCATTCCTCTGTCCTTCCTGTTTTTTAACTGTGGTGTTGTGCTGTACAAACAGACTGGAGTAGAAATAGTATGATTCATAGTTGCAGTTCTGCTTGTCTCTTGTCAGAGAGGACAAACAAGAGAGGCAACTCACTGAGAAACATTGAATGCAGGTGGTTTAGGGTAATGCAATACAGAAAAATTCTCTTTATGTGGCTTTCAGATTCTGTAACAGCTACAGAACATTAAATGTGACCCAGGACTTGTCAGCAATATTTATCTGTCCCAGGACAGAACTTTGCTTGTTAGCACTGACATATTCCTTATTAAAACAAACAAACATTTCCTCTTATCACCTTCTCTTTTTTTTTTTTAATCAAGTGAGCAACTGGGGAGGAATTAATTGCCAGGACTCTTGCCCTACAGCATGATGTTTGTGAACCCTACAGGTTTATACTATAGCAATGCTATCAGCTGCCAGTGTTATCACTGGCTGTACTGAACTGCAAAGGCCAGGCTGGCAAAAGTCTCAACTCCAGCTTCAGATAGTGCCTGTTGGATCCTGGGCTGGAGATCTGCTCTCTTAGCAATTTCATACTTCCAGCTGCCTCCATGTTATGCTGAAGTAAGACTTTCTTAATCTTTAGACCCTGGAACATCCCCCACATATTCTTTGAAAAAAAATGTTACAAAAGCTATAAAAAGCTTTGAGCTTTTTCTCCTGGGATGAAGAAAGAACATACCAAACAAAAATTCTGATGTCTTACAAGTGTCAAAATTTTTAGTTAGACCAAATAAAATTTCAGATGCTTTAGCATCCTCCAGCTGAAGAACTCAAAAGTTTCAAAAATTAATAACTCCTAGTACTCACCACACACTGTGCAAGTCTTGCCTTGAGACAGGATAGAGTAGGTAAAGCTTAGAACCTCAGCTATTTAAAAAGCCCTTTGGCTAGAAACTGTTTTGTTTTGGGGCTGTGCTTTTATTGCATGTGATGAAGTGATTACATGAACAAGTCACACACAATGTAATTACATGAGCTGTAGAAGCAGAGAAGTTTACATATATATATATATAAAAAAAATCTTGTTCATCAAGTCCAAGTACTTAACACCCTGTTTCTCTTCATGCCAACAGCTCCAGCACAGTAGTTTCCAAACTAATTCATGGATTGCTTGAGTTCTTGCCCTTAAAGGGCTTGTAGAAGTTGGCAAATTCCTTAAGTGCAAACAGGGTCGCTGCTGGCATGGTGAAGAGACTGGGGCACATCAGCTGGGTCTGGGCCCAGTGAGGTGGTCCAGCTTCTGGTTATGGGGGAGTGTTGTGGGTTCTTGCCACACAAAGATAACAGGCCTTTCCTCACTTGCTGCTGTAGCTGCAGTCCACTGGAAGGGAAAAACGCAGGGGAAATGCTGCTGTAGTGATAAGAGATGAGCTCCTAATTGTACTAAAGTGATTGGAACGAGGATGTGCCTGTCACTTCTCTTAGAAGATGATTCAACACATCCAGCCTTCCAAAGCACCTGGATAATTCTTCCCTTAAAAGATGACATTGAGCCTTTACCTGCTTCTGCTGCTCAGCCATGGTGGAATATCCAGAGTCTCTTTTCATCTGAAATAAAAGGTGATCTAAGTAAGTGAACCTTGGACAGCTGGAGAGTGAAAGAACACACCGCTGGCAACAGCAAATCCCCTCAACTTCCAGTGAATTGCAAAAGTGTAAAATATTTACTCTCTGTGTCCTGTCCTGTCCTGCTCCATCCTTCACGTTGACCATCGAGCAAAGCTGAGCTCTAGAGAAGAAAAACGCCCTTATTTCCTGATGAGTTAGAAGTGTCCCAGAAGATTAACAGGGATGCAAGGATAACAAAGAAATATGGGAGAATAGCCAAACCCAAAGCTTTTTGCTCGTGGCACACGTGTGTTGTGGCACAGCTGCCTCCCTTGATCTGACCCAGGAATACAGTGCACCCAGCAGCAGCTCCAGCCCATCTCAGACTGTGAGGAGATGATGATGTGGGATGTTTTCTTCCATAACAACAAAATGCAGTTAAACTAACAGGAATGAAAAAAAAAAATCCTAAAACAACAAAGTGAGTTTGTGCCACAAAGGATTAACACTGTAGAGCTCCACACAGCCTTCACTGACATGGCAGAGAAACTGTAAATTACAGCCTAAGAACATGGTAACTGATAAAATCATCTTTGCTTCAAGTCCTGCTATGGTCAATTGGAGGGTTAAAGTCCTAAATGGACATGTGGCCACCCCATAATAAATCCCCTTGCATCTGGCTCTGGTTTGACCATTTGTTAATCATTTTGTTAAAAAAAAACTTCAAAAATAAATCAGACCCAAGGTTTAAGTAGCTGCTCGGCCTTCACCACTGGCCACAGCCATGAAGGGTTCTCTATGTCAGGCCATGTTCTGGCTGTCCTAGGGATTATTGTGTAGCTGGTTTTATATTGCAACGCTCTTATCATCAAATATAATTAGCAAAAGTTAACAAAACATTCCTTAATGTTTTCTTGGTTTCACATGACCTTTAAGAACAAACACACAAGTTCTAATAATACAACAGCTAGATTACTGAGGATTGAGGAATTTAATCCATTTTGCTTTTCATACTCAGCAGAATATTCAAGCACAGGCAAAACATGTTACCTAAGGTACAAAGGAAAGCACAGAGAGGTTTAAAGGCACCTGTCTAAGGTACAAACACTTGGAAAATTACCCATTAGGAAGATGATATTCTATTACCTTTATGATGGAGGGAAGCCTCTTAGGAGTACTCTTCTTGCAGCAACTCAGAAAGGAGGAATACACTGCCAAAAAGAAGTCCCCTTATTAGCCAGGAGGTTATAGTTTACCTTTGAAATTATAGCCTTCTGGGTTCTTACAAATACAACTCTGTTTATTTACAGGTGTTTCCAGCTCTGTTTCTCTACATTACATATTAGTATGCAGGCTAAAGGGCATGAGATAGAAAAATTAAGACACCTTCTTCCTGCTTACTCATGGACAGAAAAGGACAAGAACAGCCCACCACACACTTCAGTGGAAGAAACTAATGTTAAACAGTTTTGAGAAGGACAAAAGAAAAACTAGGCAAAAAGTGATTTGAAACTGGAAACCGTGAGCTCAACTCCCAACCCCCTATTTCAATACCAGGGTTGGATGTACTCCTATGGGAAATTCTAACTTTTGGTAGCAGTCTTAAAAAAAACCCAAACCCAAGTTCACTTTGTCTCCCTTGGCCAAAAAAGGTAGTGTGAGAAGTGCCCTAAGGTGCTATTGCTTAAAATGAGAACATGTTAGGGAGCTCAGTGTCCAGGGCTTCTTGTCTTTCCCCAGACCTAGAGCTCCTCACTGCTGGACTCTGTGAGCTGCCAGGGCCAATCCTCTTCTCCTCTTATATGTTCTTTGCCAACCACAATTTTATTGATAAAATATAGTTGGACTCTAAGATAGTTGATGAAGAATACCCGTAACAAACAATCATAAATAACCTGCTGGCCTGAACACAACAGCGTGAATAATCCTTGCCACAAGGATAAATTTAAATTGATCTTATCAGAGTTTTTACAAGACCTTCTGATCACATCTGTTACATAACATGCATTATATGCCCATCTTGTCACAGAGGTCCTCTTAGGGCAGGTGTGCCCACTGCCTCCAAGAAAACACCACTAATGCTTGAAATATGTCAGGCTTGAATAATCCATTTATTTTTGAGGCTTTGTTCCACTCCAGCTTTCTTAACAGGTTGTTCAGAGCCTTCAACAGTTGAGTGTCTGCAGGGAGGGAGATTCCACAGCTTCTCCAGGAAATCTGTTCCAGCATTTGACAACCTTCACTGTGATTTTTTTCCCCTCAGAATTTGCCTTGTTATAACTCCTATTATTTGCCCTTTGGCTATGCACATCCCTATCTTTACAACCACCCAGCAGGGAGCTGAAAACAGTAATGTGCAACACTTATTAACGTGTAAAATGCAATATGTAACCTCTAGTAAGTCACATTTCAGGATAAAACTTTACATTATTTACACTAAACCAAGATAAATTTGGATGGATGAGGTTTTCCCCAACATCTAGTTACCTACTCTTTTTAGTGTTGGGTAATGTCTCTCCTGATTCAGGATAAACCAAATAAATTAAAAAACCATTCATGTAACCATGGTTGTTTCAGCAAACAAAAAAGCCATTCAACTGCTTGGCACTGCTCTCATGTTGGCATGTTTTACAGCCCAAAATCAACCAGTGAAGCTCTCAGCTGCCTGCAGCTATTTCCAAATATCAGCTACAACTAGAGCTGTGTAAGAAAAAAAAGAGTTCCTTTTCAGTTATTTCAAATTAGTTAACACAAAATTTGATCCAGATCAAATTTTCCACTTTAAAATAAGACTAATTGATTTTCCAGTCAGTCTCTTGACATTAAAGGGGATACATACACTAGTCAAAAAAGAATTCTAATACATTTTTTAAATTATTATTTCCATGTATAACTTCATTTGTCCAACAAGTGTTCATTAAGTCACAGATCTGTTTTCAGCAAATTTTCCACTTCAGGTACCAGGATAGGTTAGTTTGTCTAAGCCATGTTTTACAATGCTCAGTATAATCTGAAAAGGGAAGAACTGCCATATTTTTTACAATTGTTTTAACATGTGCATCATTATTTATGCCCCATCTCTGCTGCCCCCTTAGATTTCTGGTGCCCAAGCTGAGGCACCACAGGTGCCATTCCCCCTGCACTGTACCCATTGCACTGCACCCCTCTGACAGCAGCCAGACAGTCCTGCACAGAGGGTGCAGCTGAGTGACTGGCTGCCCACCTTGGTATTCCTTCTGCCTTCCTGCTTAAACCTTCTGTTGTAGACATTAATTCCCTGGAATCAACCTTTATAGTGCACAGACAGTGGAAAGCTGCTCCTGGGAGAAAAAAAGGCTGTAACTATTCATGAAAGTACAGAACATACAGAAACAAAAACACAGGACCACTCACCTGGTCACCTGAGCAGTTGCATATCCACGAAGCTCTGTGGACAGACACAGGACCAGACGTCACGTTTGATGTCCTACCACGCCCTGCACGGGTCTGAGGGCAACCACCTTCCTAGAAAAGCTCACAATGGACTTCACACAGACACACCACACTGCCCTTTAATGACTCCCTCAAAGTTTCTATCACATCTTTTCAAGCTACTACACCCTTGAACTCTGGCTGCCCATTCTTTGCTCACCTCCTGCTGACGGTAGCCTAGGAGAGGTCCTTTGTGTCTATTCAGAGCCCAGAGTTCAACTCTTCACCTTTCACTACTGCCGTGGAAACTTTATGAGGGTTTAGGCAAAGGCAACAGGGGTGTGTTTCCAAGCAGAGCTGGCTGTCCCCTCCCAGACAAGTCATGTGAAGCCAGTGCCATGTCACTCACTGTTAGTGCTGGCAGTGTTCCCCGTGCCTATGTGCTGTTACTCAGTTCAGCATGTGCAACACATCTCCGCAGGTAAGAATTTTTCATCAAGAGTTCATCACAGCACCTGAGAATAAAAGAGCCACCAACACCCTAAGGATAAGTAGTTTTTATAATTCAGCAACTCACCTTTTGAGCACAAAATAGCTAGAGTGAGTACAACTGAATGGGTCAAAGGTGTATTTGTTAAAAGCAGTAAGGGTTACTGTGCAATTTGGCAAAAAACCAGCAGTTCAGTTTTCATTCTGCTGTACTAGGTCTATAAATCACACCAACGCTGTTGTTACAGTATCCTCAACCAGTCACAGGCAGTGGTTCCATGAGGAAGAAGATGCATATAGGTTAGCACATGCTTGGGCTTAGCTGTCTTTGAATATGATGTTTACAGACCATAAAGTCTGTAATTATGGTATTGCAGAGAGCAAGATGTAATTTACACTACTACTGGTCTTATGCAAATGTGGCCCCAATCTGTTACTTACCCAATATATAGTGACTTATCACAAACTAAGCTCTGAGTGTTGTTATCATAACTTTCCAGACTTATTTTTTCACATGAGGAAAAACAAGGAATATCACCTCTCCCTCACAGTTAGCCTTGTATGGCCACTCTCAGGTGAAGCAACCTCTCACACCAGCAGAGCTGGAGCTGTGGAGGGCTGCAAGTCTGACTAGAATTTAACAGTGTTACTGTTGCTGTTGACACTTTCCTTGACTAATTCCAAGTAGTAGGAATTCCATAGTAGGAATTTGTAATTCTTAGCTACTGCTACTAATTGTTATTTATCAAAGACAGCAGACTCAACAGGGAGGAATGTGATTCCTTCAAACTATGTACTCACATGCAGAGGAGGAAGTGGAAATGGGCATATCAAGAGGGGGATGCCACATGGATGATGTCCTGAGCCCATCTTTCTTTGGACTTGAGATTGCAGTGGGAGGACTGCTCATCCAACAGCCAAAAGCAGCTGATAAAACAGTGAATTTCAAAGACCTCGGTGTTCCTTTGTAACCACTGCTCAATTCCAACATGGGCGATCTCTGAAATATTCATACCCATAGGAACAGGCAGCTCAGCACATCAGGGATGTGACAGCTCATGACATTACATCATAGGGATGTAAATGTCATTTTCCTTCTGCTGCAACTTGTGTCTAGCACATGTTGTCACTAATCAGCTGCTTCTCTGCTGGCTGCCCTGTGCCCTGCACTGCTGTCTCCACCACAGACACTCCAAGGCTGGTGCAATCTTTGCTGAGGAACGCAAGAAGTCTGATTTCTTCTCAGCAGAAAAGCTTTTTGATTAGAGACTTAATACCTTTGATCACTCTCCACAGTTTTCTTAATAGTCACTGGTTGTTTCACTGTTTGAAAAGAGTATCAGCAGGAAATCTCTGAAGTATATTTCAGGCTTGTATGAGCCCACTCTGACAGTTCCTCTAAAGCTGAAGAGGAATCTGACCTTGGCACGCCTCACCTATTCCCTAATTCCCTGTATTCTGAACCAGATTTCCAACCATCTCCTAGGGCACACGTGGCCACCACCTACTACTGCAGTGGTGGCTTTGGAAGCATCTGTGGAACCACAGAAGGGTTAGAAAAATGGAAACTTTTAGGATTTCCCTAAGTAAGTTTTTTCCTCATTTGTGGTGCTGTGACTGAGCTCTACAAGGAAGGAACAACTGTTTCTACAGGGCATGATCCAGGATATGCAGCTCCAGCTGCCCAACACGAAAATGTTGAGCTAAAACCCTTTATTCTACTTTATAATGTAGCTCTACCCACACAAACTGTTTTTTGTACTCTGGTCTTAACAGAACCAGAGGGTGTGAGGACTCCTTGGACTGCTGAACCTGGAGCATGGTAACTTCCAAGTACAAAACCCATGGGACTTTTTTAAAGAGGAAGGTGCCTTTTCCAGCTATTCTTCGTCTTTATTAGCAATGATCAAAATCAGCCATGCTTGGAAAAACAAATTCTGATCTCCATCAGCAAAATATGTCACCAGCACTCCCCACCAGTGCTTGCAAACATCCTTCAACAGCCTTTTTTTTACATGGCAATTTTAAACACTACAAGTGTAATTTATCACAGGTGATTATTGCCTGCAACACATTTTTGTGAGAGTACCAAGGCACAAATATTTACAGTGTCCTGAGAAGATGCATCCTCCCTTTTCCCCTGGATTCAACATACCTTCGAGTGCTGGGTCTATGAGCAAGAAAAATATGTGTGTGTATTCACCTCTGAACTCTTTAGGGAATAAAAAAAAAATAAAAAAATCTATGCACACAGTGCTGTAATCCAACCTGGTGAATTTACCTGCTAAGAACATGTTTTTCTAGCATGAAATCCCAAACTCAAGTGACCACGGGCAGAAAGGTGACTACTGTCTGCCCATGTAGCACATTGCATAATAGATAAGATACTCAATGCCAGAGACTGCAGAGCTAAGGCAAAATGGTAACTATCAGCTATGAAGATAAACTTTGACTCAAAATAACATGAAATAATGGCATGTCATAAGATGCTGACAGCAACAAGGTCACTTGACAGAGAGCAGCACTCAAAAACCCTCTTCTAAATGTTACATTTCTGCTGAGGCATGAACATTAAGACTGAGACACTGAACTATGAAGTGGGAAAGACCCCATGAATCGGTTTTCCAGATACTTTGATTGAAATGGGTGGGCAAGTAGCTGAGACTCAGTGAGAAGAAAGACTCCCAAGGTGGGCAGATAACCCAGTACTAGAATACATATAAATATATATATATACAGACACACACACATATGTATTTTATAACAGATGCAACCCTGTCCAGAAGGCAGGCAGTCTAAAGGAAATACTATCCAAGCTTAATTAGTAGACAAGCTTCCAAATAAATTGCCTCTCTGCCATCAGCATCAGCCAGCAAAGCAGTGTTGGCGGCCGCGTTCCACAAGCAGTTCGCTTATACTGCTTCACCAGATAGAAACTTCTGTTGCTAACTTAATTGGAATTCCACTCCGGGAACAGCAGAAGCCAGACTAAAAGTCCGCAGGTGTAGCAGGGACTGGTAAGACTTCTACGCTCCTGTAGGAAGCAGCAGAATTTCCTCAGCTAATGAGCTCGATACCCACTGCACCGTAGGGGCGACACGAGCCAGGACAGCGGTAGTTTGCACTCCGGGCCTTGGAAAATGAACCCTTATCCCGCTCCGCCACCCTGCGCGCCCTCGGGCCTGGCCCTGACCCGGGGACCCCCTCACCTCCCCTGTGGTGAGGGAGGGGCGGCCGCTGATCCTTCCGGGGACGCTCAGCCAAGGCCCGGCGCAGCCCGTGTCCCGAGGGGTCGGGGCGCTGGGGCTCCCCATGCTGGGAGCCCATCCGGTCCCGCCGGGCGCGATGGCGCCTGTTCCCTCAGGGAGCGGAGGCTCCCGGCTCCCTCACCCCTCCCCCCGCCCGCGGGCTTTGGACGCGCCCGCCGCGCGCAGCGCTGAGAGCCCGGTTGAGCCCATTCCCGGCACCGCAGGGGGGGGGGGGGGGGATGGGGAAGGGGAACACTGCTCTCCCAGCGCTCTGCGCATGCGCAGTGCGGGCGGCGCGGCCGCGCGCCGTAACGTTTCCTCTCTCCCCCAGCCCCGCCCCGGCCCGCCGCGCGCGCCGCCGGGTTCGCCGCCTCGCGCGAGAGCAAGAGCCGCGAGACCCGGAAGCGCCGCCCCCCACGGCGGGGGGGACTCGGAGCCATCGCGGCTGCGCGGGGACGGAGCGGCGCGTGCCGGCCGGGGCTGCCCCGGGCTGCAGGTACCGCCGGGGCTGCGGGAACGGGGCGGGCCCTGTGGCACAGGCACCCGGGAGCGGGGCTGGGCTGCGGCGCTGGGCTGAGGGGCCACCGGGGACGGCGGCCCGCCCGCTTCCCCCCCGCCGTGAGCCGCGTCCGGGCGGCCCCGCCGCTCTGAGGGAGGGGGGCCCTGAGGGGACCCCTGGGCTGTGAGGCTGCGCTCGGTGCCTCCCGGTGACTCGTGCCTCAGGGCCCGGCCGGGGGCTGGGCGGGACCCCTGAGCAGGGTCTGTGTTCCAGCGCGGGAGCTGTCCCGGGGTAGCGCTGCTGACGCTGCCGGTGTCAGCTGGAATGTTGAAGCTGAAATACCCCCCTGCAGCGTGTCCTGAGTTACATCAGGGAATCACAGCATCCCGGAGGGGGTCGGGTTGGAAGGGAACACTGCGGGTCAGCTGGTCCAACGTCCCTGCTCCAGCAGGGCCATCCTAGGGCACATTGCACAGGATTGCGTCCGGACGGTTCTGGAATATCCCCAGGGAGGGAGACTCCACAGCCTCTCTGGGCAATCTGTTCCAGTGCTCGGTCACTGCACAGGAAAGAAGTTCTTCCACAGTTCAGGTGGAGCTTCCTGTGTAAGTTTGTGCCTGTTGTCTCTCGTCGTGTTGTTGGGCACCACTGAGCAGATCCTGCTCCAGCCTATTGACATATCCCCCGTCAGACATTCATGCACATTGAAACTTATGTTGGTGAGTGTTCTCTCTAACACGTTCTGTTTCTGTGTTTAAAAGCTCTTCATCACAGAATCACAGAGTGATTTGGGTTTAAAGGGAACTTAAAGATCATCCCATTCCACCCCCTGCCATGGCCAGGGACACCTGCCACTGGACCAGGTTACTCAGAGCTCCATCCAGTGTGGCCCTGAACACTTCCAGGGCTGGGGCAGTAGCTGAGGGTTAAACATGAGGATTCCCTGCTGTACATTGTGTGCCCAAAGTTTCAGAGCTTATGCCAGGAGAAGGAGAAAGATGGGATAATGATTCTTTGCATGAATAACTGTACTGTTAATTGTGCATCCGCTCTGAACAGGTGCTCTAGATTTCAATCAGCACGTTTACAGAAAGTGATAAAAGCAAGAAGAAACTTGATGTAAACTTTAAATGGGTTGTTTGAAGCTGGAAATGGAAGTGTGACTGACTGCTACAGAGCATTTATTCTCATGTGACTCTTCATTTAAAGCATTATTTTTGTGTCTCTTTAATGCAGCTCACTGATAAGATTGCACAGCTTGTGATTCTACACTGTTGTCTGAGTTCAGCATCAGCTGCCTTTCCTCTGCTGCAAGATGCCAGCAGCTCTTGCAGAGAACAGCCAGGTTATCTGTGAAGTATGGGCCAACAACCTGGAGGAAGAGATGAGGAAAATTCGGGAGATTGTTCTGAGTTACAGCTACATTGCCATGGTAAATGCTTTATGCTTGACCTAATTGCCTTAGTCAAGGGATTTTTTTGGGTAGAGGGAGTAAGTTGATTCTTGAGTGAGAAATGATTTCTCCCTACCCCCAGTCAAGCTGCGATAGAAGAGGTGAAAAATTAAAAAGATGTTGAGTAACTTTCCAGAATTTAATACAGGCAGTGTTGAGCATAGATTGAGTGAAAAAAGGGGAAGATGGAGACCCACTTAAAAAGATGAATTAATTTAACATTTAGCTATCCATGGTGTTTTAGTTTGTACAATGCAAAAATGGAACAGGTCATAATTGTGTTTAAATCTCTATTTTTCCACTGGTGTATTTGTCCTTTGGATGTCTTTCTCTGTTTGGCTGTGGAAGATGCCATGGGACTGTAGGTCAAAAGGCATGACATCCAGTCAGCTGGGCTGCCTCCAGCTCCTTTTTAATGAGGGCAGATGTTGATTCTTAGGGAAGAAAAATATTGTGGCTGTAGATAAGACAATGTGTTCAGAAAGCTTTGTTTAAGAAGACCAGAATCTCCCTCGGATGGGAGGGATCTCCTCCTGCTCTTACAAGTCTGTATCTGCTTGGCAGCACCCAGGGAGTTACATAAAGAACTGGTTTTAGTTTTGATACTGCAAGTTCTGCCAACTTTGCTTAGGAATACTAAACCTCAGGATAGGAAAAGTCCTTAATTAAAGTCTGGCACAAAGACAGGTGCCCATGCAGAATGTGCAGGATTTCTGTGTCAAATGCAGTTGTGGATGGGAATATGATTTCTTGTCGTCATATGTCAGTGGGAAATGAGCTTTTTTGCATCTTTTTCATCTCACTGAAAGTGTGCTCAGGGCCTGTTTTAGTGGCTGTGCTGTCAGAGTGGACACAAAAACATCTTGGGCAAGGGAGAGACTCTCAGATGCACCAGCACTGGGTTCGTTGTGGAAGATTTTGCATATAGTCAGTAGAAGCTACATGACCTAATCTGAGGGTAAAAATAATGTGGCAGTTTGGGTTTCAGCAAAGGTAGCACACAGTCTGTGGCCAAGTAAAATGTTTTTCATCGAATAGATGGTTTTTTGTCTAATAGATGGTTGCTGTTGTTGAAGCCTGTTTTGATTGATAGTAATTTTTGTTAACGTAGGCATTGGCTGTTCCTCAGAAACAGTGAATGTTTCACTGTCTGGGCTATCAAGTGAAGATGGTCAGAGTGCCAAATCTAACTTGTATTTAGAACGTGAAAGAATGCTGAATAAATAAAAACTATTTCATGGTAGTAGATTTAGGGAAAATGAGGGAGTCTGTTGCAAGGGAGAGATGTTTAGATTGTACAGTAATGCATGTTGGAGGGCTTTGCAACGTTTTTGATTTGGAATAAAACAAAACTGTAAGAAGGCATAGTGTAGTAAATTAATGAATGCAATAGTTTATTAATTTTGTGGAGTTTTTTAGTGTCTGACTTGTAGCAGTTTAAAAGCTGTATGAATATGGAAAAGGAGGGGAAAAAACCGCTGATTTTAACAGAATAATTCACAGAATACAGTGCTGAGACCTGCAAGTGCGGAACCAAATAAACTTCCAATAGAGGGATAATAATGACTTCTAACAGAGAACATGGTGAAACAAAATTTTCCCTTCTGTCCCAGGACACAGAGTTTCCTGGAGTTGTTGTCAGGCTGATCGGGGAATTCCGCAGTTCCACAGACTACCAGTACCAGCTCCTGCGGTGTAACGTCGACCTGCTGAAAATTATCCAGCTGGGCCTGACTTTCACAAATGAGAAGGGGGAATATCCTTCTGGCATCAACACCTGGCAGTTTAACTTCAAATTCAACCTCACGTGAGTCTTTTGAGCCGGGGAATAATTTCCTGTTCTCTTCTGCTGTGGGGATGTTTTCCTTTGGCAAATGCTGGTGTCCGTGTGCTCATCATCACTGGCTGATTCCCAGCAATAAAAATTCAGATTCTAATGCAGAATATGTGGGAACCCCTTTTGGAGTGCGGGGAGTTAATAATGTTTCTCGAAGTCAGAACTGTGCTAAAGTCCTTAATACCCTTTCTCTTGATAATTTTATGTGTCTTATTCTGGAACAATGTTATAGTCTGAAACTTCATGTATTTTATGTAGAGATATATATATGTGTATATGTATATAAAAATTCATGTCTGTCTGCTAAAAATAAATGGATGTGCTGTTTTCATCGTAAAGGAAAAGACCTCCTTACAGATCCATGCTAAAATATAAACTGGGATCTAAAAACATGTTGGTGTAATCATCACACCTGTTCAGGAGAATGAATATTGTTAAGTGGAGCGTGGCAGTTCTTGTCTCCTCCATACTGCAATATCCTGGGTTGCAGCTGAAACAAGTTTCATTATTCCTTCCCCTGTAATTATAAAGACAAACTCAGCATAATTACCACTAGAGCTGCCTGGAAATAAAGAAAGGTTTATCTGACAAAACCACACACTTATAGGAAATCAATTAGTATTTTTATGAAGCTGTCATTGCAAAGCGTTAGTTACTTTGTGCAGGGCACACAGTTCTTGAACCCAAAAGTTGTACTATTTACTCCACAAATCTGTGAGCCTCTTAGAAGTATTGAAATCAGAGTGAAGGGGTTTTCACAGTGTGATCACTTCATTTGAGTGAGTAATCATATTGATAGGAACTTTGATCTGTGTGTTGTCATGTCCTTTCCTCCCCCTCAAATGAAGCAAACCAGTAAAGAAGTCAGGTTCCTGCTCAGCTCTCTACCAAGCACATCATCACTCATCCCCGTCCTCCTTCCTGAGTCAAGGGTGATGCAATTTTGTTTACTCCCAGAGATGGAAGTGGAGGTGATGATAAAGTGGTACATGCTGTGAAGTGAAAAGGAAAAATGTAGACAGGAATGATGCTCAGTGCTTTAGAGTTGCACATCTTCCTCTTTGAGAGAACTCCCCTTTTCTCTGTGGTGCTTCCCTTTGCCTTGCAGAAGTGGCATTTTTCAAAACTCAGTTTAATTTCTGTGGAGTTGGAATCTTTGGAAT